GCTGCACATTGGTGGTGGTGGAGGGGAGTCCCCATTAACTGTAAAGCGCTTTGAGTGGAGTGTCCAGAAAAAGCGCTATATAAGTGTAAGCAATTATTATTATAATTATTACTGTTTCATTCGATGCCCTGGACGGGGCTGTCTTCTAGGCGCATAAATAATAATTAGGCTCACACTGCCTCAAAAATATGTGGGCTTGTAGATACAAGACGAACTGGACACTACACCTACTACAACCACACTACACTCCTGAGGACGTGAGTAGGTCGTCATCGCCTCTTGTACCAGTACAAGAGCCTCACCACACTCCCATTCAGGACTGGCCACCTCACATCGGGAGGGACGTAAGAAACGGCCTATCAGTCGATCAAAACCACACTTCAAAGGCGGGGCCCAGCGGAAAGACTTTGCTAGGCAAGTTTTTTCGTGGGCTCTGCCAGAAGCCAGTATGGGACGAAGCTTTGCGAGGGCTGCTCTTGCAGCAGGCCTTGTCCCCATCAGGACGCAGGTGGCCAGTGTGGAAGCCGTTCCAGAGAGAACGCAGGCGAGCTGAACTGACAGCCCCACCTTGAGCCGCTGCTTTGAAAACGGTTGTGCGTCTGAACAGACGTGGGTAGCGAATTACTTTTTTAGCATCTGTACCACAGAGTACTCCTTACAGCAAACACACCGTCCCCCAAAATGACTTCAAGTGAAGAGTAACTGTTCAATAAGGCACTTTTCATAACCAATTGAGATGTATAATTATCACACATACATGTGTTTTTGTTTTAAGCGCTAACTGCTGTCAACAGTGTTAACGGATGCCTTATAACCGTCTGAAACAAGGACTGGAATTCCACTGACTGCAACAGAATCCTCTCTAAAATAAATGAAATTATTGCCTTTATATGAACTTGACTTTATTCTCTTAGATACAAAATGACTTGGCTTTCTTGCTTTAACAGGCATGTGCTTATACTCTCAGAGAAGTGTGCACACCACATTTGCATTACTGCAATGAACCCTGCTCAATCCTGACACAAACCTGCTATATTTAAACTGATGGAAAGACGGCTTTTTAGCTTGACTGAACACAACTAAACAGCAAAAACAATATAAACTACTTTTTTTTTTTACAGCTTGACCTCAGTAAGGGGTTACATAAAATAAAAACCGATCATAAAAAGCAATGAGAAAAGAGGATTAGATCTATCAAAATGCACAAGTCCCACATATAATAAATTGCAAAAAGGTTAGCAACTAATTTTCACTTCAGTTTTCAAGCTTCTCACTGTGTGAACTCCATTCTTGATCACTATGTCCAGTAAACGTAGCTCAGCAAGATCATGGTTACAGGTTCTCACCCCCCATTCAACTCGGATTAAACAGACACATGACACTTACATTTCAGTTCTGTTCGACAACTACAGATGAACCTTTCAAAGCAACGGTCTGCGGAAGGCCAGCTCAAACCTCATCCAACCAAAAGATTTTTCAATCGTCCTGCAATATTTACTTTGGCAATAATTCCCATACCTTTTTGTGTATCTTAAGTGGACAATGGTAACACATCTCACACAATGGACATGGAAAGAAAAGTATTCAATATACTGATAATGTCAACCTTGCTTAGTCTGACAAAATTTGCACATTTAATTAGTTTGAATTAGTCTGCACATTTTACACACCAGACTTACTTAGAAAGCCTTTTCTCATTTATCAGTAGTAACTTGCATTACTCAATGAACTAACCAGAATTAATAAAGCTAATATATTTGGTGAATTTCACTCAAAGGAGGATCACTGTGCACTTCATCCTTGAAATGTTGTATAAGCAAAATGGGTACTTTCTGTGAGCTAACCTTTTATGATAGCCTGGCTTGATAATTGCTTTACATTTGGAATGAAATGATTCTTAGGATGCGGAGGAAGACTGACCATCTTTAAACCATTCATCTTCCATAATTGTAATTCATGCATACTCAAAAAGAGTTTCAAAACCATTTCAAAGCAATACGTATGGTAGCCAAAGGATTAAGAAAAGACTTAAAAACAATGGGTGTTACACATACTATGATGTTTTTTTACAGTGATGTAAATCTCAATACCACATCAAAACTCTACAGCATGCCACATTAGATATTCTGGCAACTTTCAATCTCAATGTACCTCTTCCGCTATTACAGACTAGGCTCTGTCATTTTCCCCACAGTTATAGTAAACCTCCTTTCTTGCCTGTACATTTATTAGACAGGAAAAGCCTAGTCTACTAACGATAATATAGATGTTTTAAAAATGTCACCTAAATTGACATCTGTCGATTGTCCTCTGCGTAGGAACTATAACTATTTAGATGTACAGTTAATATTATGTACTACACGTCATGAAATGGATTTATAATTGGAAGGCGTTAAAGCTATGTCCTTTACTTAGAAAACCTTACGGCAGGGCGTAAAAACAGACAAAATGCCACAAGAAGATCATTTATAACCATGATTTCATGATTTTTTTCAATTGGCTTTTTATGGGCTCAATTTATCTCTTAGAAACACATATTTCAATTTGACCAAAACTAATAACTATCCTTAAGTTAGTTATTAGTAAAATACATTACATGTTATTTATGTTATTACATGTTACTGTTATTGCTATTGTGTAACTGTCTATTGTCTTATCTTCTGTCCTATTTATATACTGCACCTGAATGACTAATGAGAAACACTTTTCATTATACTATGCACCTGTGTAAGTTTAATGACAATAAAGTTGAATTGAAGACATTTTCTGACAGTGTAATTCCAGTGTAGCACTTAAAGAACATCAACCCTTAAGATTTTACATTATGGTGCTACAAAAACGAGTTATAAAGAGCTTGTCCCACATATTTCTCCTTGAACAAGAAAGCGTTAAAACAAAGCCATAGTTTTATCCTTATTCAGAGTGTTTGGGCTTTTAAAGCTCAGTAAACTAAGAGGCAGAGCTGCTAGTGCCAGGCCCCAAGAAAACCTCCCAGGGTCACAAGCCACCAATGTATGCCTTACCAATATGACTGAAGACTGCTGATGTTATCTGTTACCTCCACACCTCCGGAACTCAACTCTCCTAGGTGCATATTCTGTGCCACCGATCTTGACTGCACACTTCACAGGTACAGAGCCAGAACTCCATATCTTCATGGACCAACATCCAGCTCCTTCACCCTTTCCTTTACACCAACTTATACTAAAGTTCCCTCACACAGCACATCACGTATGTCCTTACACTACACAGGCTAAAATGTGTGGTTGCTGCGCTTTCCAAACTCTAAAAGGCGAAGAAAAGCACAGGCAGTGCCTCTCCTGCTCTTCACTTTCAAGCAGCGCACTCGATGTTTCGACAGAGACGACACGATACCGTACCTGGATTCCCCACTGCTGTTGCTCACACTTTCTTCGTCGCTGCGCCCATCCATTTCTTAAATCGGAAACAGCTCCGGTTCCACGGCCTTCTCTGCCAGGTGCTCGAAGAACGCAAACGGGTCCAGACCACTTTTGATGACTGAAGCGTTACAGGGACTGCGGTTTCTTCATCCAGGACTCCTCAGCGGCTCCGGGTAGCCTAGAAAGTGGGCGAGACACGTTTATCACACGACCGAGTCGCAGCTGCTTTGTCACGGTACTTGTTTTGTTTTTTTTTTGCTCGGTCTGCTCCGGTAGTGTTGCACTGAACGCCACCGGCGACTGAACACCCACCAAATCAAGAGCCGAAGTCACCGGCCCCTCCGGGGACAGACCTTCCGCTGGTCCCCGTCTCGGGGAAACACTGGTACTGGGGCTCAACCTTCATTCGAATTAGCGACGTCTTGACCTTTTATCACCGCCCCTCCTCCATGAAGAGTAAAATACTATTCGGGCAAGAACAAACGAGCCGTTCCCGTGGCAATTATTTTATACACATGTAACTAAGGGACATGCCTTCATGTCCATCTTCCTAACGGGAGACCCGGACGTGCCTCCCCGAATTCCGGCAGAACCGCCGCGGATCAACTTGCCGTCGCTCCGCTCCTTCTGGGCACTTCTTGCGAGCGACGTCGTGGAAGCGACGCTTTGCTACCGCTCCCGTTTCCAACTTCAGCTGTTGCTCCTGCGAGCGTGTGAAAACACCCGCAAACATCAAGAAGAAACTCACGTCGCGTTCCTGTCGGCACTGTCGCCCTTCCAGTTCGGCATGGCTCCCCCTGACCTAGGATCCGCTCGCCAGCTCGCCCCGGCACCGCGACGGGCTCCGTTTCACATCAACACTTCTGCTGTTTATTTACAAGAATCATGTCGAGGACACCCCCCTCACACACACACACACCATCGCCGCCGCCGCCGCCACAATTGTCAGAAACATCAACCCGCAGTCGAACTGATCGTTCGGATAAAAAAAAAAACCCCAACGAAACCCAAGTCTTAAACGGCTAGAAGTAAGAGACATGTGTGGGTAATTCAGGCCCGGTCTCCAAATCTTAAAACGATGCGATGCAACCTTCTCTTAGACCGCAGAGGCCCAGATGCGAGGCCTGCAGCGTGCTGGAGTTGGAGGCGGACTCTCCTGAACAAAGATCCCCGCCGGAGCGCCTCTGCCCGCATCCTCCCTGCAGCCCGCCGGCGACCGGCAGCACGGAGCGGCGCCCTCAGCCGCGCAGCCGGGCAGACCACGCCGCCGCCGCGGTGGGCAAACCGGACGGGCTTCGAGAAGCGTTTGATTTACAACGTATTCGGTCTGTTGTTGTTTGTTTTTATATATATATTTCTCTCAACAGCAAGCCAGCACATTACCAGAGCAGGAAAAAAAAACTTACTTCAGAAGATGCACATTTTAAAGAGGAAAAAAAAAAAGTTTGGCCGATTTTCGTTAATCGCATTAAGCCAGGAACAAAATGCCATCCCTTCCTCGGGTTCCCACTTTAAAAACCGTGAGCCGGGGGTGACAGACCCCCCAGTCCGGAGCCTGTTTTCCCCCCGCTGCCCTCCAGCACAATCGGCTCTTTTATCCCCGCGCCGCCTCGCCGCCCGGACCCCGTCCTCCGCGCGCTCGCATACTGACACACCGCACGCGCCAGCCCGCTGTCCCCTCTTCCCCGTGCACGTCCGTCTCGCGGCGCCCAGGAATCGTCGCCTTTCTCGAGCTGACTGGGGGCAACCGTGCCCCCCACAGCTCGTCTCCCCGCGTTTTCAGCCCCCCCCTCCCTCCACACACACATACACGCGAGTCGCGCCTCGCTTTGTACCTCCTGGGTCGCCTGCCTCCGTCCGACTTCTCGGGCTCCTTTTTTTGTAACAATTTCTGTTTTCTTTGCCAGGTCCTGTGTCGCTGTGAGCTGCTGAGTACCACTTCGGCTCGGTTGTAAACTCGGGTTTCGTAAGAGCCCGGCTCCCTCAGGGTTCCTCCTCCGGGCTGCCAGAAGGGTCGGGGGGAGGTATTAATATGCTTTTTTCCCCAGTTTCTCCTTTCGATACCGAAGCACGGGCTTTCTTTAATCGAAAGATTGTTGATTGCAGCCAGATCAGTTACGGGTCCTCTCTCTGCCGGCCTCCGCCATGACGCCGTCGAGCTCACACACTCTGCCTATCCGGAGAGTGGAAACCCCGGGCCGTGACGTCACGCCGGCGCTCGCTAACTCGGGAGCTGCGCGAGTGCGACTCGCGAACGGGACCTGGGAGAAAGGAGAGGCCGCGCGGAGGAGGGGGTGTCGGCGGTGTCACTGCCCTGGAAACAATTGCCAAAGAAGATAGTGCACCACCATTGGCTGGCGCGGCTGGAAGGATGGTAGCTTTCTGTTCTCCAGCCTGACTACGCTTGTGAAGGAATTCAAATCGGCGTGTTTTTTTCTCTCTCCATTTCCCGCACTCCAGTCAGACGGACACCCGGGTGATACGTCTCCCTGCTCCGTGCTGGGCGCTGCGTAGCCCCAGGTCACTGAGTATCTATGTCTGAACCAGTATTAACACTCGAGATACCCATCCCGCCTCCCAGGTCTTTTGTGATAACATATAGAGCCTATTAAAACTGCCCTTGAAGTCTCACCTTAAGAAATCGCTTTCTGATTGAGGGTGAAAAGAGTTTGCTTATAGAAGCATACACTTTTATGTTTCGTATGAAATTATCGTTCCATAACAAAAAAGTATTCTCGCGTATATTTACATTATGAGAATGGGTCATGGGGATAAACTGATCAACCATTTCAGACAAGGCCAGACTGATACCCACTGAGGAATGCCAGCAGAACAATTGTTAACCCCAGCGATCCCTTGACGTAACTGTGCCTCAAGGGTCTTCCTGATTACTTTCAAAAGATTAAATCCTTCAATGCTGTATATGAAAGGGACATACAAATAGAAAAAAACACAGTTTGAAAATAACAGGAAAAGCAACTACCTAGAGAAGTGCAAAACACACAGCATGTTTTTAATGTGGATACAGTTACACTGAGAAATGTTTGTAAACATATATGGTATATATACAGCACATGTATAAAGGCAGTCACAGTTACGGGGTCACCTGGACAATATTAAAGAAATTAAAACAAGCAGAAAAAAGCACAAAATGAAAACTTTGTGATCTTCTCAGAATCCAATGCAATAAAAGTCAGGTAGTTGTTTTGTAAAGATTGTTCATGAAATGGCCCATAATCACAGGAGCATTTGTTTAAGGTATTCCCATCACACCAGTTTAGAAGCTGGCTAAGAGCTTTTTTTTTGCACTGTCCTGTCAAGTTATATTTATATAATTATATTTATATAATTCTTCAAAAGCGTTTACATCAGGACTTTGGCAGTATCATCACATTAATTCAGGATATTTACTTTCTAATTTTAATAAGATTTTACCTGAGAGTAAGTTTAGGATTTTTGTAGCGCTTTGAGAAGCCACCTTTAAAGGCACTATATAAAATTACGTTTTTTTTATTTTTGTTATTGTTATTATTATCATTAGGATTAGGATTTTTGTCGAAAGTAGAATTACAATTCCACCACCTATAACAACATAAGTTCTATGAGCCTGAAGGATGGAACTGCGTTGTTTCTGTGCTGTGCCTACTTTCTTTTTGGGACACCAAAGAAACTTCAGATCCATGTCTTACTCAAGGTACCATACCACATTTTCATCAGTTTTTCCTTTCATGTGTCAGCTGTCATTGTCACCTTTTCTTTCCACATACTGTTTCTGAACTGAAAAATTAAAAACTGCATCTTCAACAGTCTTTTCCACAGTTCCTTTGGTAATTTTTCTAGGTTGAACTCCCCTCCTGGGCTTCTTTCCTGTCCTGTTGTCCCAGGCAAGCCTCTGCAAAGGTTTCTGAGCTGCGACTCTGTCACACTATCCTGTTGAAGATTTAATTGTACCATGTCCTCTCATGTGAGGAGATATGACGCTGAACTGAAAATGGCAACAATAAGAGAGCTACATTAGAAACAGAGGAGCCTTGGACCCTCCAGCAATCACCCTATCTTATCTTTTAATTGTTCTGTTCTACAGTATATACAGTACATGGTCAACTGTGTATTCTAGTATTATATAAACTGTAATAGGTTTATTCCATGCTGAAAAAAAGAAGAGAGAAAACACACCGTTTCGGCCGTGGAGCCTTCTTCAGGTGTGAGGGCTGAAGAAGGCTTGCACCTGAAGAAGGCTCCACTGCTGAAACGTTGTGTTTTCTCTCTTCTTTTTTTTCAGCATGGAGTAAACCTATTACTTGTTCCTTTGCAGCCTACACATGCTGATGCAGCTACCCAACTGAACTTATACAGTATACACTGTACCTGTTTTGTTGCCAATTGTGGTCTGTCCTTGTTGATGCAATTCATTGACTTTTCTAAGAATTTACTATGTATTTTTATTATTATTCTTCTTTTATTATTATATGCTATTGTCGCATCTTGTTAGCTGCTATCGTGTCGCCAGTTTTCCTATATTTATTTTGTTTAAGTTAATATATGTAGCTAAATTCATTGTTTTTATTTATCTATTTAGATTTATTTTAAAACTATGTATTCTAACATATACGCTGTAGTAAGATACATAATATATGTTCTTAGGAACCTCAGAAGGGTTACAAAGGAGAGGGGACCCTTCAAGCCATCAGGCCCATTTGACACTGAGTAGCTAACTGGTCCAGGGATCTCCTGAAGGAAACCAGGTTACGGGCTCCAGCAACATGGCTGGGCAGCTCGTCCCATAACGTCCACAACTCTTGCATACAAAAACAGCCCCTGTTCCCCGTTTCCAGTGCACATCCGCCTTGTTAGCATTCATGACTTCTGGTTAGTGTTTCACTGTGGGTTTGGACGAAGTCCTTTGCGTTGATTTTGTCCCTTCCCTCCAGGACTCTGAACACTTGGATCAGGTCCCCCTGTAGTCTTTGTTTAAGGTTAAGAAGTTCTGCCCCAGAATGCTTCTGTCTGCCATTCTTTGGACCAATTCAGTGCTTTTTTATAAGACAGCGACCAAAGCTTTACACCGTATTCCAAGCGGATTACTGTTTGTATTTAGTTCTGAAAGGTGTTTTCCTTTCTAATTTTTTAGTTTAGAAAACAGACAAAAACGTTTTCAGTCCAAGTTGCATAACACAACCATCCTTTTACCAAACAAATTTGGAAATATACATCATACATAGGAATTTAGTCTGTTCTCATCTGTTCCCATAATCTTTTACAATTATTTCACTCACTTTCTACCTAACTCCTAATATTCAAAATAAAGAAGATGCGTAAGTTATTATGAAGAGCAAGAACAGTATGTAAACGTTCATTCTTAATTCGGGTTTCAGTTATTCTGCATCTCAACAAATTCAGACTTCTAAGTTACTTAACTAATGTACTTAATTAACCCATCTAGACCAATATTTGTTCTTCTGTAATTTAAGTGAAAATATTAATTTTTCCACTATATGTCATTTATTGACTCAATCCCATCATTTATTGGTAAACCCAGGAGAAGCCACTTTCTTGTAGTCTTTTTTACCTTATCAGTAACCCTTAAGTAAACATAATATATAACACCTCAAATGTGAAGAGTAAATTCCTTTCAAATAAGTTCTCCAGGGCCTCATGTAAATCCGTTCAGAAAAGACTTTTTTTAGGGGCACTCCCAAAATATGGGATTACCTTCTTGGTTTCCACAATGTCTCCATCATTTAGAGTTTCCCCTAATAGGGTGTGCCTTCTGCCTCAGAGTAATAAAGAATCAAACAACATTTTTCCAGCAAAACTATCTCCATAAACGTGAGGTAGTATATCTCTATTGAAATTCACAAAGTTTAAACCACTCTTCATTTGTAACCCTAACTTTACTTTCTTTCACCCATTTACCTTTTATATAATCCGTAGAATGTAATTCATTTTCCATAAAAAAATTATAAAATCTAGATATAATACCCTTACTTGATTCCAATTTGTAGGCTTCCATAACTACTGTTCTTTCACCACTGCATCATCAATATACAGTTCTCCCTTTTTAATATCACTAGTGATTTAGGGCACACTTAGAAATATCTATAATTCTTGCTTCTCCAAATGGTGTCTCTCTTTTAAAAGCTTATCCATTATAGTACAAAATGCCCTTATTTCTTTTTTTCTCCAAACTTTAAATCTATTATCCAATCTTTTTGGTTTAAATTCCTTAATGTGGATGCACCTGTGTATCTGAGTACCTTAACTGCGTCACTTAAGTGATACTCTTTTGTAACTGTGTTCCATATCTTTAGTTCAAGCTTTATCCATGGATTAAGTAAATTTATTTAAATTCTTGTTCCCTGATAATGCCTGAATTGGGGGGTTACTCATAAGGGATGACTCAATGTCTGAAAGGTGTTTTCAGTTGCCTAATAGAGAAGGGAAATTCACAGTCTGGCTATAAGGCCTAATTTGTTATATTTGTTTTCTTTTCAACTGGATATGAACATTTCAAGCAGACAATTCTTTCATTATAAATTTCCCATTATTAATTTCAGAAAGACATCCAGGATTGTCTCCAGATTATTCTGCTCACAGTCTGGTTATGAGGCCTAATTCATTATCTGTTTTTTCTTTTCAACTGGATATGAACATATCCGGTAGACAATTCTTTCATTATGTGGAATGTGAAGACATGAGTTGTGCCAGTCATAGTTGAAGCACTAGGGACACTCAAAAAGGGATTTGATCAAAAGAATTCCTCTGCCAGCCACAGGATTTGAACCATCAACCTTCCAGCTATGGGTGGAGGTCCTTAGACACAGTGCCACCACTCCACCCCTTTCTTTACGAAGGTGATGATCTTATAGATAAAAAAAGGGGCGGAGTGGTGGCTCTGTGTCTAAGGACCTGCGCCTGTGGCTGGAAGGTTGCCGGTTCAAATTAGTAAATTGCTTCGATCTCTTGCTGAGATCTGGATTTACAAGATACTGCCGAAACATATCCGGTCAGAGGACGAATGAGTTATAATAATAATAACACCAATAAAATAATTAATAATAATAATTCCTTGATTTATTGAGGATTCCTTTCACCCCGAATGATCCCAAAGTACTTTACCTACTTCATCTGGCTCTTTAGTGTACTCTCACCTGGTGTGTGGGCAGCCATTATGCGTCAGCAGCCCCATGACACAGCGGATCGGGTGAAGAAGTGAGGAATTACTATGCCAGTTGAATTAAGGAGGTCCTGTGGGGAAGCCAGATTGCAAATCCAGAGTGGGATTTGGCCAGAACACTGGAGTTAACTCCCAAACACCAATGTTTCCCAAGCTGTGTTTTCATCTTTATTTTTAAGTAGTGATAAACGTATTGTATTTTGTTCTTCATAATGCAAGTTTTTGGAAAATCATGAATGCCATACACTACTGAAAAACAGTCTCATGTGCTCTGAAACACAATTGCTCCATTAGCAGATATTATGTGAGCACTGTATTATTTGTGTATTTCTTTGTACTGTATGTATTTTGATTTATGTGCTGCACAAAGTATAAATATAAAATATTATAAACACATTCTAATTATTTTAAATAATGTCATTTATATGCAGTACCTGAATTTAGAGACAAATAAAGATTTTTTAATTAAATGCAATTATATTATACAATTGTGATACAGTTTTAGATCATGTCTGAACAGATACCACTTAGCACTAAAGCAATGATACCTCATTTGTAGTTGTGATGAATAGTGCTTCATATTTTTAACTTGGGATTTTCTTGGTTTTAAAACATTTGCTGAAACCTAAGATGATTGTAACCTCTGCAGCATGAAGAAATAACATCATCATAAAGACAGAATGGTGAGATAAATCTAATTATGAATCAAATTATAATCATGGTCAGAGGAGTGAATCCACTTCCATTTTCAATTTCAATGTTGCAATTCTGTTATTTTGAGCTTTAAAAATGTTTAATTTGAATCCTTCTTCCAGGAAACCTTGTTGTTATGTTCACGTTAACATATGCCAGTGCTCAAAATGATGTAATACTGTAAATGGTTTAATTCTGTTTGGAACTAATCTCTTTATATAGCTTTGTAATAGATGTTGTATATTATGTTGTATAATGTTAAAATGAACACTCATCAATTTTAAGGACTGCGAGATTAGAAGTTGTGATTTGGAACAACAGCAGAATGTTATTTTTAGCACTCCAAAGGAATGTACGTAATGTAATATTAATATTCATCTAACCTTTTCATATCAATTGTATTCTCATTATTTCCTTATTAAAAGTATATTTTTTCTAAATCCTTTCCTTTGT